CTCTGTTTCCCAGTCTTAGGCAGATATTCTGTGATGTATAGTTTCCACCGAGATACAAACTATAATTCATCGGACTGTCCATCATATTTGAGCATTGGAGCATATTTTTTTTGCTTCACTAAAACATTTTATCTACTTGAATATGCAATGATTCATGTGGAGATAGATATAGCTATGTATATCCGATGGTCATGTCGGCGACCCTTCAGGAAAGTTTTGAAATCTAGAGACTAGATAATTGGAAGAAAGAAGGACGTGTAGGGAAACTTTACATTCGGTTGCTTGTAGTAATTCCAAGCAGTTTATTCTGCTACATGTCACATTGACAAATTTACTTGTACGAATAAGCGAGAATAAAAAGAGATAAAAAATTATGGTTCGTCAGAATCCGCTCGATGGCACGATGAAATTTATGCTCACTTTGAGCGGTGCTTGGCCAGGCGCATCATCCGCTCTATTCTGTAGAATGTTTTTCATCGTTTCAATGATAACCTTTCAGTGTTGTCGCTACCGTTACGTTGCAATACATATGCATTCTGCCACACTTTGGGACTATATGGACTGCTTGTCTCTTCCTTTGGCAGATTGCAAGGTGTTTTTTAAGTGCCTTGTGCTTTGGTTAAATCAGTCGTAAGTAACGTGTATATACACAAAGTTGGAAACAATTTACAAAAGTATCCCATTAAACTTTCTGGTTGGAATATGTGAAAGTTTGGTTTACATATACAGTCTGTTAAGTAAGAGCGTGTACAAGTTAATGTGTAGAAAAATTTATTTTAAATAATTTTTAAATACATGGATTTGTTGTACTTCATCAGAAGAAAAATGCTTTTCCATCAATAATGTGTCCAGTCACCACCGGCATCAATAATTGCCTGGCATCTTCGAGGCATATGGTTTCGACTAAATGCGGCACTCATGGCGGTTTACGTATTTCTCAGGCAAGAATTCAACGCCGACTGAGTCCTTCGTCACAAAGCATCCAGGACAAAGATTCCATCTATCGACTCACGCAAAAATTAGGGCGATATTTCAAAACCAACTGCCAGATATGCTGTACACGCTCTTACTTAAAAAAAAACAGTCATTCCATATTCTCAAGTAAATAACGGAATTATTTTCTCAGGCAAGAATTCCAACACCAACTGAATCTTTCGTGACAAAACATCCAGGACAAAAAAGTTCCATCCATCGACTCACGCAAAAATTAGGGCGATATTTCAAATCTAACTGCCAGTTATGCTGTACACGCTCTTACTTAACTGACTGTATGACATTTGGAAATAATAAATGTCCAAAAAGATGAGTGTTTACAGTGTGAAAATTAAGATTACTTTAAGATCGACAATATAATCGGTGAGCACCATCATCCACAGAAAATTTATCGAGGTGCTAACAATAATGAAGAAGGATTGGAGTGACTGTGATAATGACGATATCAGCATGCGCAAGACAGCAAGCAAAGCTAAAACGTCGGGACGTATTACAAAAATTATCCTCATCCTTCATACAATGTCAGTTGTTGGAGTCAGTATCGGTGTCATCCTGGCCAATGTCGATGTCACCAGTAACACGACGGAATTAATCTTCCTCACTATCACTAAGATTGAAGTTCCTTTCGATGTAAACACGCAACACACATATAGATTTATTTTACTAACAGAAGTGTGTATGTTATTCATGTACGCCTGGTCGGCTGGTACAACGAATTCCTTGTTATTAACTTTGGTAAGTTGAGGATGTAGAAACGATATTCAAGGTCAAAAACATAATTTGAACAATAATTTTAAAATTTTATTTATGCAGTAACTACATTGTATGCATTAAAAGCCCAGCACGATAAATCTAAAATTTGAGCTAAATTATCTGTCACCCGATTTACTATTTCCGTGTATTTTAATAATACCATTCCGCATCCTTTTGCACCGCTTGAATACAAACCAGTTACGGATGTCGATTATTTCATGAGCAACGGGATCTTTATTTTCAGACCTTACATACAGCTGGCCAAATCGATATTTTGCGTTATTGGTTAACGCAGCTCACACCCTCCGGAAATGCGAGTGAAGGTGAATCACTCGCTGCCGCAACGACTAAAATTATTGAAAAGCACAAAAAGATTATATGTTTTTCGAAGAATATAGAAAGCCTTTATACACATATTGCGCTGCTGCTATTTGTGTCAAACATGTTAATGATCTGTGCGCTAGCTTTCCTTGTCGTAACAGTGAGTAAGATGATTTTAAATGTAAACTTATATAGTATTTCTCTAATATAATTGCAAACAATATGATAATATTAAATCTCCATTTACTCTTTAATATTTAACTTTAATTCAGCTATCTAAATTATGCTTTTATTAATTTTATTTACATTTTATTATATACAAGTATTCTAAAGAGTTATTAATTTATATACATATAACAATTAATACAATAACTAGTATAATATGATAACTAATAGATAACTAGTATAATATAATAATTAAATATATTATTTTTATTAATATACTTGTATACTATATATTAATTATATACTAACTTTATATTTAATAATTTTTCGCACATCGTTGTTATGCTATGTCGTAGACAATCGGTAGTCCTGATGCGACAAAGCAAATAGTAAGATCTTCTTTCTTTTTCGTTATAACAAATCTCGAAGCGTATATATTCTGCTTTGCTGGAGAATGTCTGAAAAACAAGGTTAGCCAATAAAGTAATATTTATAATAAAGTAGTAATAATTGTCGTAAATTGTTAATGATAAATAATATTTCATCTAATTAAAAAAAATATTGTGAAGAATATTAAAACATAAAAAATTTCTCTATTATTTCCATCTTTATAGAGCAAAGAAATTGGTTTTGCGGCGTACAACTCTGCATGGTATGACATGAAAACTAAAGATAGTCGTGTCCTGTTATTTATCATGTTAAGATCGCAAAAACAATTGACACTTACAGCTGGGAAGATGATGGATTTATCCTTGCAATCTTTTACAAGTGTAAGATTTATACATAGAAACTCCATCTATACGATAAAATTCCTTTTTAATATTAAAAACAGAGATTTTGAAATCGGTAATGCAAAAATAATTTTTTAGATCATAAATGCTTCGGGATCATTTCTGTCGATGCTATTGGCGATGCGATAAATACTAGATGATCGATTATTTAACAACAGTAAAAAATTATGAATTATACATATATCAGTAGTTCTAGAAATTCATGTTGTAATACAGTATATTTCTCCAAATATAAATATTAAACAATAATCTGAATCGTTCTCTCTAAAATTACAATACATTACAATGTAATCAGATTCTGCGTAAGTGTCATAAAAATCATGGATTTTTTCTCGCACAATTTAAGGTAAAATATTAAAATATTTTATTAGGTATCCTATGCGAAAAAATTCCTTCCTTTGCATATTGGATACATGCATGATAACGAATGCACAAATTATCATCAATATTAAATTACCAATATTAAATTATTAATATTCAAATTAGCATCAATATTATTTTAATAGAGAGTTCCTAATAAAGATTTTCTGCGTCATATAATTATATTTCATATAATACAGAAACACATCAGATTTATAGAACATCTGTACAAAATCAGAGTAATAGAGTTTCAAAAATTAACATTCACCGCGTGACATTACTATCGTGAATTAACGCAATGTAATACTAACAATAAAATGATAAAATCAACATAAGTTATATCAACATACAGCATTGTAGCACTGATTATTGCTTCTTCTGGGACTTTATCATCCGTTTGCTGCCCAGTGAGCGATTTCTATGAAAAGTTGTGATGCCGTGATGGACAAAAATCGAAGACGTTCTCTTCGTGAGACAATAATACACGTATTTTTCCGCAGGTATCATTATATGTATTTAATATATGCGCACTTCATGGCTGCATTGTGGCTATACTGTCGGTACCAAAGGCGAAAAACATCTTATCTGTTCCCTCTTTCCCACAAAATTGTAAGGAAAACGCGACGGGTACATTTGAGATCTGCACGCACAATAAAAATATTTTATGAGCAACTTTCATTGGTCAATTTGCCGGCAGTACACGTTTGAACAGCTCCCACGACGCACTAGTCTTTACACAGGTATCTAATGATATAAATCATCGCTGTAATTGGGAAATACACCTCTGTTGTTAAGAGGAACAGCGATAGCATATTCATTTTAATTTTTTTCTTTTAAAAAATCCTAACTTCGTTAGATATTTTCTAATGCACTTGTTTGGACAGAATCGAGTGTAAAAAGGGATATAAATGACTATAATATATAACTCGTAAAAGCACGATTAATCGCATAGTGTTTCTTATGCTCCCCTAGTTCGGCGTCAGCCCACACAAATTAATCATTTTAATTACTAGATTGTTCCGGATTGTTACAATAGCGTTTATTGAATTCTGTCACTATCTTTATTTTTCGACACATTTCAATTCGCAGAATTTCTTTTAACTTGGTGGATTGCTTATGCAGCTTCTTGGCACACGTAAAAGCAATTGCATAAATTCGTTGCGTTCTGGATAACTCAGCGGTAAGTAAAGTGAGTGCGTTAATTAAAATTATTTTAATTAGTTTTTAAAATCTTATTTTTATTTATAGTTTAATTATTGATGTATATATATATATATATATCCTAATATCGAAATCACATATATATATATATATATATCCTATCTTTGCGCTTCATTAGTCCTGATTTATTAGAAATGTGATAAATTGCTTCACTTTCACACAGAAATTCGTGCATTTATAAAATTATTGTTACATTGCTAAAGCATGAATTGCTAATAACAAAATATTACAAACACTTGGAATTATACTACAAGCAAGCGAATGTGAAGTTTTCCCACACGTCCTTCTTTCTTCCAATTATCTAGCCTCTAAATTTCAAAACTTTCCTGAAGGGTCGTA